CCTTGCCAAAACCTCACCAGACACCGAACCAGCACGAAAATTATCAAGTTTTTCCATGAGACATCTAGTGGTATGCACTTAGAAATTAATACATTACTAGACTATAAAGTTTGTGAGAGAAGCTACTGAAATAAGCAATGACGGAAATTCCGTATTTAAAACCGCAGACCCACAGCATTGGTATAATCTTTAAGTTGTGATCCAAATGAAAGATGCATCCTTGATTATGGCAAAAAGATAAGCCAAGGCAAAATAAGTACAGTATTGTATCCAGAAGGGTAAGTTTCTCATCACAGATGATAAGAATAAAGTGTTTTATAATTTGGGCAGATGGGCACTAGCCAGGAGAAACTGCAGTTGTTAAATATACTGTCCATAATCAGTGATAAAGAAGACATATTTAATGAAGGCATCTGCTGATAATAGTTAATGAGACTGTCTGAAATGAGCTTCTAGCAGAAAAGAATGAAGTTAGAGCACAGATGCTAGAGGACAGAAGACCTCAGGAACATACTCTTTTTCTGGACAGATCATGCTTCAGGCTATGTGAAAGGGACTGATAAGATGATTCAGGATGGGCATGGATGAGGCTAAATTCAGTTTCTTTTGTGTGGTCTGGAAGACTGTGAAATGTTCATTGAGGCTCTCTGAGACCTGTCAATTCTGGGATAACAGCATCAAAGCTATTAAATTAAATTCCTGGTTTGTGTAATTTTTTTCATTTATAAGTTTTATCAGAGGTAAGGACAGGATGTCAGTGTAACGCAGGCTGAGACAGACTATTCGTGCACCCAGCAGCACACTCTGCTGGAATACAGATTTGTTGACTGCCATGTACATATACATGCAGTAGGACACAGAGGCTGATACCAGCTGAAATAAAGTAGTGATTTATATTATGATGGGTTGTAGTGCTTACTTGGCATGTTATTATTGTTGCTATTTAAATAAAATCCTCTAAAGTTTATTTCAGGCAAGATTGAAATAACTGTGGAACCATAAAACAGTCAGTAGGAATGCTTTGTTTATATAGAGGTAAAATATTATATTTGTTCAACAGATTGCAGACTTCCTTTTGTGGGCATTTGTAATTATTTGGGACCAAATCCAGTCCCTAGTAAACTCGGTAGGAATCTTTCAGTCAGTTGCAGAGGGACTTGTATCAAATTTCTTTAAGTTTTTGAAGATGCCAGGTTTTATAAAGTTGACATTTTAGTGTTTGCTGGGTGCCTGATACAGTGAGGACCAAGACTTCCCTTGTGACTCTGCATATATGGGCAGTGATATGCTTTGCCATGAAGCATAATGGATGGGGGTAGTGAAGAGGTTAATGGGTCTACCTAGTCACTACTTTAGAAGTTGTTTGTATAATAATATAGGAAATACGGGGAATAAACAAGAGGACCTAAAATCTTAATCCATGTACAAGAGCGTGATTGAACTAGCATAGCAAAGATGCGGTGGGAGGACAGGGAGGAGGAAGAGGCTGTTGCTGTTGTCTATCGGGTTCAGACACTTGTGCTGTGATCCAGCTGTAGAGGGAGTTGGACATGCTGGTGCTCTATGACTAGTACTAAAAGGGGAAACGCTCATGGGCTCCGTCGTTATGCAGGCATTGCACGGAACACCGAACAGATCAGGTAGGTGGGGATTTTTATTGGCGGAGTACAGGGGAAGGTGATGATGTGAGATTTTAATTAATCAGTCACCTGTTGGAAACCAATAAAGGAGAACGTACCAACTGCCCCGCATGTTTTGCAGTGCACTTATGACCAAATTTTGAGATGGTGGGAAAAGCAATCAAAGGTGAAGCTATTCTATTTGATACCAACTCTAAGGGAGAAACTGTTTGAGAATAGGAAGAGAAAAGGCAGCTTGAGTGAGAATTATCCTGGGATGACAGAGCCACAGATTTCGGGAAGTGAAAGAGGTTGAGTAAAAGGATCAGAACAGCTGGTTTCAAGGGGATATGAGAGGACTGTGGGCATAATCTTTTTGGAAAGGAGTCTGGAGAAGAGAAGTTAAAGGAATTGGCTGTTCCTCAAAGGAAGAGTATAAAGAGAAAAAAATACAAATTGAGACAGCATGGGAGAAGGACAAAAAGCATAATAAAATAAATCTGTCTAAAATACAAGCACCCATTTTATATCAAGCACAAGAATAACCATGTAGAAAATTAAAACTAATTCGGGTTATTCAGAACAAGTGTAAAAGAATAGCAAAAGATGTAGAGAAAAAGAAAAAATCCAAGAAGCTGAGGCCAAAAAATGTGAACAAGAAAAGACTGTGTACAGAAAGAACATGAGGAGTAACAGAAATTGTTATGGAAGTAGATTTCTGATAAGAGCGTGTTCCAGGAAAGTATTGCTCTACTGCTTCACAGAAGCACATTAGTCTTCACTAGGGATATTAGAGGCATATGGAAAACTCAGCCTGGAATAGAAAAAGGACAAATCAGAGAGTACTTAATGTGTTAGGAGGTCCCAGGTTAGCTGTGCCTGAGACAAGCTATACTTGGAAACTGGAAGAACTGGCTGAATCAACCTCAGCCATGTTAGCAATTACCATTGAGAATCTAAAGAAGAAAAATGAGTGTGAAAAAACAGAAAAATAGAAAAACTGATCCTCAAAAAGGTAGGGGAGCTATGGAGGGAAGAGGCCTATCACAGATTTACAGATAATTTTTGTTCTTACAGAAATTACAAACAAATATTCAAACATTTTGTAAGTGCCTGGTGGAAAGCAACAAACAGCAATCAGCATGGGTTTGTTGGAACTGTCTAATACCCTGTAATGAGAGATTCAGACTGGTGGGTAAAAGAAAAGGAGCAGATGTCCTACATTTTTACTTTAAGAAACTTCTGAATCCTGTCTCACAAGACTCCACTATAAACAAGCTAGGGAACATCAAGCAGTGTCTTAATATAAGTTGCATGGGATATAGCTGCAAAACTGGTTGGAGAAAGTAACCCCCAAGGAGCTACTGCTGTTTCACTGACATGTGTGTATTCCACTAGAGTTTATTTTAGACACTATTCTGTTGTGGTTTTTTTTTTTTCGGAATAGCCTGGATTATGTATTAGAGAATATGCTTAGTAAATTTGCACTTGTCACAAAGTTGAGAATGGATTGGAAGGGTGCCAGAGAACAGGATTAGAATTGAAAATGATCTTGACACATTGGAGAAATAGCTGGGGGAATAACATAATATTTAGTAGGTGTAAGCGCATGGTACTACACTTGGGCAGAATAGCCACATACGGGACACAGGACAGCTGGTTAACCAGTGGGATTTGAAAACAATACGTAAGTCATGAAAATTACATGAATAAACATAATCAAGCTGTTGTGAACAAGGTATGGATGGATGAAAAAGACATATAGTCTGCAAAATGTATGGAGTAATTAATCTGTTGTACTTGGTGCTCTGCTCAGCTCAAATACTGGGTCCAGTTTTGAGCATCACACTTCAAGATAGGACTAATTGGAGGGAGTTCAGAGAATGGCAATGAAGATAGCGAGCTGAAAAACATGACTTGTAAGGGAAAAACTGAAGAACCAGGATTATTTATCCTAAAAGGTAAAAGATAGGCAGGAGAGAAAAGTTTTCAAGTATGCAATCCCCCCCCCCAACAACAAAAAATCCCCCAAAACCCCAGCCTAAACCCAAAAATCCCCAAACCACCTTGAACTTACACAGATGAAGGGAGTGATCCGATCTCTGCATCCAGTATGGATAGCTTAAATTCTAATAAGAAAGAATTGGTTTAGACATCAGAAAAAAAATCTGATAGTAAGATAAGATCACTTAGAACTGGTGAGAAATTTACAAGTATATTAGAGGTCATTTAAAATGCAGAAAACGTGGCCAAAAATTATACAAGTGTAGCTTTGTTTCACTGACAGTTTGGAGATTACCTGCTATGGACCCTATCAGCAGTATCTTCTGTGATTCTCTATTGAGTGTGTTGCATTACTGCCTATTATTGCTATGCAACACAATTCATTTTCTGTTCTGTAAATCTTGTGAAATATTATTGTACTTTGAATTAAGATTATACTTTCTTTTATTTCAGTGTGTGCAGAAGCTTACAATCCTGATGAAGAAGAGGACGACGCAGAATCCAGGGTATTTAATGCTTTGAGTCAAATATTTATTTTATCAGTTCTTGGGCATTACATTTAGGAAGAAAAATGTAACCAGCATTACCATTCCTTTCCAAAAGCATCCTTATTATAATATACTTTGATAATCTCTTGGGTTTTCATGTTAAAGGAACATTTAAAAAGTCTCTGTAATAGTCACCCATGTAGGACCTGATGTGAGTTTTATTCTAACTTACACACTGTTGACACATGGTCTGTTAAGGAAACATTTTTGTATGTTTCCCCAGAGAGTGCCTGCTCCTAAAAGTATTTATTTGGTGTCCTTATAAACTTGCAGTACTTTCCTCAATATTCCAATATTTTTCATAATGCAGAAAAAAGGTAAATTATAGTATCACTAAGATTTTCAGATGTACAATGCAATAACTAATGAACTATATTTACTTATTTTACTTATGTCACCCTTTTAAAGGCATTTAACTTAGCTTTTAGTATAAAATAGCGTAAGTATGACTTTTAAGACAAGTTTAAATGTTTAGTCTACCTAATTTCTGGCTTGTAAAACTGTCAAAAAGCTTATTCTGTATTATCACAGCTTTGAAACTTAGCATACCTTTTTAAGCATATGAGTTGAATGAACGACTTGATTGATACTCACATTAACCAGACATCGGTAATTTAGTAAATCTCTGCCTCACTAAGGTAGTGTCAAGTCTGTTGTTTACTCTGTGAAACTTATGATATAAATTGAACATAGATACTATTTCACAAAATATTCTTTGAGAAGTAGTCATGGTAAATGGCTAAATGTAACAGTGGTGCTTTTTATAAAACATGCATCCATATGATTAGAGAGTAGTGGAATAATGTTTATACAGCAATAGTTGAGATAAAGGTATCCAGAATGGCTTGCAGAAATGAACTGGATTCTACAAATGTAAAGATCTTGTTAGCTTAAATACAGCAGTGCTTCAATTGCTAATGCTATGGTGATATAATGTTATCATTGAGTGTTTATTCAAATCCTGAAGGTTTTGAAATGAAAGTGTTATGAAGCATGGCCAAAATATTGTGTATAATGCTTAGTTGAATTAGCTCAGTCCTTTAGCTGGTACTGCTATATGATAACCACTTTAAAGGCTTTTCTATTACATCCCTCAGATTATTCACCCTAAAACAGATGATCAAAGAAACAGACTACAGGAGGCATGCAAGGACATTCTTCTTTTTAAGAACCTAGATCCGGTAAGAGAGTCTTTGTAATGAACAACATTTAGCAGTGCTGCTAAGAATTAATTCTCTTGAACTTTCGATCAGAAGTTTACAGATTTGACTTTTGTAAGCTCTTATGTATGCTTTCTAGACCATTTCATAAACTCCAGAAATGCCATTTTTATAAATGATATGTCATATATAGAGAGCCTTTTGTTCACCACCATGAATGATAGTCTTGAAGTACATTAATATGAATGTATATATTAGTATGATTGTACAGTATTGTATTTCTTATTTTAAATCTTCTTGCTGTACATTGTCGTATATAAGCTCATCAGTTAACTGCAACATTTGTTTCTACTAACTATTTTTTATCATCCAAAAGTGTGCTGAGTGCTCCATCAAAACCTAAAATTACCTCCAAAGCCTACAGTTTAGCTATAGATGTAATCGAACAAGCAAGTTATGAAGTATTAAGAGAAAGGCAATAGTGAGATGTTTACATTATTATTTCACTTAATACAGATACCGTAAAAACGCTACAGATAATTTTCTTCTGTGCAGATAATGTCCTTCTGTTGCCTATAAAAACAATTAATGGGCTTTTAAGAAAGCTTAAATGCAGTGAATGAGTGATCTGAATCAGACAAAGGTGATAATGCTACAAAAAGCACAGGGCTGTTTAAGGGAAAAGGCGAGTGTATCAATCAAAACATGCATACTGAGGTTGGCATGACTCATAGCACACCAAGTGCTTTCTCAAGAGAATTGATTCAGTGCTGTCAGGGGAAGGAGCATGGGGGAAAGAGAAATAATTATGTAGAGTTTTAAGAATGAGAACAAGAAGTTTTAAATTTGATTCAAGAGGGAGCTAATGGAAAGACCAGCCTGCAGCTTTCTTTGGAAGTCAGATGCTGTTACAGAGAATGCATGCTAATTCATGCTGCAGGTTACCAGCTCCTGCTTTTGCCTGCATAAAGGCTGAGCCCAGACCCTGGGTGCCTGTTCCCAGAGAAGCCCTGAGGAGCAGTGAGCCACAGACTCCTAGCTTTGTAGAACCCTGGAGTTAGAGCTATAGGAGGGCATCAAAAGTCTCAAGGTAGGTGCTAATACATGTGCATTCTTGGGACAGTAGGGATCCTGACACAGAAGATTTCCTAACTCACTCCCTCATGCTGTCTGTTTAATGCATAGCTAATTAACTATGCTTGTTCAAGCTTGTCACCCAAACATTTGCCCCTTCCCCTCCTGAATTATTTTTCTGCATAACTTCAGGGATACAAAGTGGTTTGTGGACATCTGCTCTGGATGTGAAATTGCTTTATTACATATTTTTTACAATATTTATTACAATTTTCCTTACTGTTGCTGTGTCCTGCCTTCTACTTGGCTGGACATCGTTACATTAGCCTGCCAATGGCATTTTGGCAGACCCTCTTGGTTAGTCTCTGAGCATTTCTCTCTTATGAGCCCTGTGACCTAACAAGTTATTGTGTACTCCTGGAATCTGCCATGATATTAATTTTGAGCTACTGTTTTCCTGATTCTGGCTTTACACAGGTTCTTGGTAATATTTGCTTATAGTATCAGTCCTCTGAATGAGATGTACTTTTCCTGGCAGTGAGAACTAGATCTTCTGTCTAAATAGTCATCAGCCACTTGGTCTGCAGAGCAGGGATCTATTGGCTTCACATCAGCTATATTGTAATGTTGTGTAGATGTAGAACATAAACTGTTCCAGTGTGGGCACTTGATATAACTCTTCCAAGGAATACTGAGTGATTACTTACCCTGTTTGTGGAGGTCTTCTCAAGACTCTGCTGCTGTCTCGATGCCGTACCCCCTTGATGTTTTGAACTCCTTTTTTAATTTTTGTTTATGAATCGGTTACTTGTAATTGGTAATAGTTCCCACGGTCTGTTCCAGGTGCTTAGCAGAAGACTTCCTAGCTGAGTCCTCCCTTTGTGGAGCTCTGCAGTCTAATCCCTTGAAATCTGCTCCTGGGATCTCCCAAGTCTTGTTTACCCCACTTTGCTCAGATTGTCCACTTCCTTCTGCTTTAAATCCTTCAGAGACAGTGTTCTGGAAAGTTGAGTAAGATAATTTTTGTAAAGGAGTTTTTCGTTGTAGTAACTTTACTCATAAAAGGCATTGGAAAGCTACTGAGCTATGAAGATAGCAAGGGTATTAAAATGTAGCCTTCTTCAGTCTGGCTTCCTCCTTCTGTGGAGTCAAGATCTGTAGTCCCCCTCCTCCTTCCTGTTCTGCTGCTAGGCAGTGACAGGAGCTCTGCCACTGTAGTTGCGGTAATTTCAATGTTCCTGTCCCAGCTCTCTTCCTCACCTCTGCCTCTTCACCCTGCAGCAGGAGTGCATGTGGTGCCAGCTGCTGCAGCTCACTCTGGTGGATTAGCAAAAAAAAAAACTCCAGGAGAGAAAGAATATCTTCTGCTGCTAAAGCTAAAGTCTCTGGAGCAAAAGTCAAGCTGTATATCAATAGCATCTCCCACCCCTACTGTTTTATTCTTGCATTGAACTTCAGCCTCTTTCTGCTGCAGTTCCATGTATGAAAAACACTGTTTCAGAGGTCAGTGAGTTAGAGGGGAGACGACAATATAAAGTGCTTAATGGCTTTTCACTGATGGCCTTTTAGCAAGGTGTCAAACGCCATTCCTAGATAGGACACCACTCTGAATACACGGCTTATGGCATGATCAGAATTGCATTCAGTAGATGATGCTAAATGGAGTCCGTATTTTCTTAAAACTTTACGCCGCCTTAATACACTGTGTTTTAATTTGAATGGAAGGATAAGATAAGGATATCATTAAAGCAGGAGAGGTTGCAGTAGTTAGGAGGTGACTTACAGTACTGCTCAGCATTGTAATTAGAGTCCAGAAGAGGAGAGAATTCCAAACAGAGGCGGAATCATTTGGATGTTAGACAAAATGAGAGAAAGGAGAAAAAAGATAACCTTCAGGCTTTGGGACAACTTAGGACTTTCTAAAAACGTGAAAAACTGTCTTGAGCCTGCATTTACCTGACAGCAGTGTTTGAATACCAGATAGTAAGCTTTTGGAGAACTATTTATAAATACCAGTATTTTACATGTAGGCTCTGATTGAAAATACAGCATGATATAAAGGAACACTAGCTATGGTATAATTCAGTAAGCAGCACTTTATGTTTTGAAGGCCAACTCTTATAAATTCCTTAAAGTCTGTGAATTACTTGAATTATCTTGAAGCTTTCTTTAACTTTGTGGATTGCTGAGGATGTGGCTGGTCAGTTAATGTCAGTTCAGCAAGGCACTCCTGAGTTAACTCCCTTACATAAAAAGCACTTTAAAAAAATCAATATTTTAGCATTTTTTTCACCTTTCTGGGCACTTAATAACATCCCATATTGGGATGCTGTCACTCAATATCAGTTTTAGCTAGCGTTTAACAGTATGGAAAAAAACAGTAGAAGAGAAAAATATGGAGTGAAACATGTGTGTGCAACAAGGTGAAGGAAAGAGGGTTTTACAGAGCTCTCTGGCTGCTTTTTAGAGGACCAGATCAGGAAAGAATCGAGAGAAATTCCAGAAAAGGAACTGTGTGGATGAGTGAATTAAAAGAGAGAAAGGTGCATGTTTGTTTCCCTCTCCCCACACTATTAATCTAATCTATGTCACATTAACCCATTCCTCTTCTAAAGCACCACTTCCTGTTCTTCTTCCCAGAAAACCTCTTTTTATTATTTATTAGTAGTACTATTTATTATTCTTCTTGATCGCCTGCCACACCACTGCACAGAAACCTAGTATTACTTCTGTTCTCCCAGGATTGCCATAGTGTGTCAGGCTGATTGCTCTACAGGCATGCACAAAGCATGTTACCACACCTTCTTCGAGCTTCAGATGCTGGAGGTTACTGGCAGTGGAATCAGAAGCTGCATGCTCTCTTTCTCCTCCGCTTCCACTTTGTATAAGCCAGCAAGAAGAAAATGAGATGGTGACTTCAGGCCATTACTGGTGACAAGCCCCACGTCTCTATGACTGGGCTTTGTCTCTGTTCAGGCTAGCAGCTGTTTTAACATTGGGAGGAACAGCAGCAACAGCAGCTCATCTAGTGGCCTACGCAGCCTTCTACGCTTTCTTTTTACAATGCAATTCAGAGAAGTTGTTCTTTTGGGTTTGTCTTTTAAGAGGAAACTTAGCTGAAGCTCATTAACAGGCTATCCTGTTTGTCCGTTCTGGGCTAGATATGGCCCATAGTCCAGCAGTTAAAAAACCTGACGGACCTTTTATCAGAGTAGCAGGGTGGCTCAAGGGACTGGTATCATCAAAGGTGTGCTGCAACCTTGCACTTAAAATTTGAACCCTTTATTTCTCAAAAATCCACAAGCAGTGTTAGATCATCTATTCTATTTCAGGGAAATTTTATTTTGGAGAGCTTTGCCCTGCTAATGCTTGTAGAGAACGTTTCAAATAGGTCTTGACCCTTTTCTGAAAGATAATAAATTATACATAATCTTCACAAATATGCAAGAGCAATTTCTGGGCATATTGCCACTCATGCACCTGGGGAATTATTATAAGAGAGCACAAATATTGATTAATCAATTAGAATTTATTAACTCGAAGGAAGATGAAAGAAGGCTTAGTGCAACTGTGTTTTATGAATAGTGGACTCTTATACTTAGGGCCAAAGCATTCCTTGAAAAGTGCTACTAACAGAAGAGTCACATAATGCTTTTATGTTTTTAAAATTTCTGGTGAATTAATGAGAATACATATATGTGAGAGAGAGCCCTTAATGCCTGAACATGTCAATATTCTGCCCTCCTAGATGCCACAAAACTCTTTGCAAACTAAGGGGTTCCCAAACAAATAGCACTGCATTTAATCCTCTCTTTTTTTCCTAAGGCAAAATTAATGCTTACATCAGATCTAGCAAACAGGGATCCTCTCTACCTTGCCTAGAATCAATTATTGAAGATGTTCTGCAAAAGAACCACCGAATGTGAGGTGCCTTGAGCTCAAGAATT